AATAAGGTGTGGTAATGTGTTATTAGACGAGCTGGTGCTATTTTCTAAATTACTGGTGTTCACACGAACACTCTTTTTAGAATTTCGGCCCATCGTTATTAAAATTAATCAACAGTAAGCAATAAATGAATATAAACGAAAACACGTGCAAAAAGCGTCACCTGGTTCGAACGTACCGGGCTCTGGTGGAGTAGTTTGTGCCGTTTTCGGTTCCGAGTACTTTTAGCGTGAAGTACCTCTGTACTACTCCAACTTTCAGTTCGTCTTCTATGCGTATACTACTAAATATGAATGAACAATAGTCTAGGAGTGGTCGCACACGAACGTTGTACAGTAGTATTCTGGATTCACTTCTGTAGAAGTTTCTGAGTAGGAAACCAATAAGCCTGCGTGATTTCCATACTTGTTTCGAGATGTGCTCATAAAATGATAGATTGTGTTTATGTTTCAGTTTTAGGTCTAGTGCATATTTGAGTCTGGGGATTTTGTGGCCTTAGTTGCTGTAATACTAGCTACTTCTATACTTGATACTTCTTAAACGCAATTTCCTAGACGTTTGTTACAAATATATTATTAGTATTATTAGTACTATTTTTGAGTTGAAATGACTATCTTCAGTCACCAGTTACCCATTTTCATACAATTTTCTAAAAAATTCATAACGTTAAAATTATGTAGTATTTTTTCCATTATATAATTGATGAGTCACTTTGCAATGTGTAACTCACACCATTTAAAATCGGTCGTGAAAATTTAGCATAACAAGTTCTGCTAACCAGTTGCCTTACTCAGGACCACTTTACATAACTTTATCACTAATTGTTCCACTACTCATATCACACTGCTAAATAGAATATAACTTGGTTGCTCTAATATTAGCTATTTTATACTTCATAACTCTTTAGGGAAACCTAATTTCTTAGTCTTTTGTAGTAACCCACTTGTTCACTAGTATGATGATAATACTGCTGACAATGTCCTCTGGTATTATTGTGCCATGTGATCTAATGGGAAGCACTTGTCATGAAAGCTGCTGATGTACAGCATACTGTATGATTGGGACGGAGTCAAAGCAGTCTAATATTACAACTGCAGTCATTGTAAAAGGTCTCAGAGCTTAATGTCAAAAAAGGGGGGAGGGTGGCGCGTGCTGATCAGCAGATATGGTAGTGGTCACAAATGTGAATCGCTCCTATCTGTAGGACAGCAACATGCATTATTTTGGCAGCTCGAGAATTAAACATGAGTTTAGATACTGAATGTATGAAAAAAAATTTAAAAAACTAAAACAATAATGACGGTACAGATTTAACTTATAAAAAAATGATGCTTTCGCTCCTAACATCTACAAGCCTGCTCAGTTTCGTGTCAAGATGCTATCCCATGGGCCATACAAAAGTTCTCCAGACATCCTACACTTTACCATATCCAACAGGTTCTAATCCTTCAAGTCACTTCTCTCTGAAATGTCACTTATATGCTTCACGATAATCGTTCTAACTAATTACTATTATACCCTATTTTATCTCAACTTCCTAGGCCTTTAGTAAAGCTGAAATTTACTCTTTTGTTTTTCTTTTTTATCATTCACACTCTTCTCTCGCATAAAGTTCGGTTGCTCTGATGATAAAAAAACATAACAACACCCATGTTTGAGAATAACTTTATTTTCATAGAAAACGTCATAATTTCCCATGGTAAGACCAATATGGTTAGCATCATACATTGCAAATGTGCACTATGATATCAAATACTGTATAGCTTATTCTTGTATTTTTCCTGTAAATATACTTCCGATAATATATTATTCATGATTGCATTTTATACCACTTTGTAGCTGTGCAGGATTTTCTCCTATTCCTGAAAGAGCGTTGAAGCACGTGGGGTCACAGTACTCACTCAAATATATGTTGTTTATTGATAGGCCATTACTATCATCAGGAAATGGAACGAAGTATGGGTTGTCGCTCAACTTCGATGGAGACCTTCGTGAAAGATTTACAAATTAACAATTATAAGAATCTGTTCCGATTGCTTGTACTGTAATTCAACAATTTGAACTTTAAAAAAGAGTGATAATGTATGCTAATTCATAATTGTAATTCGTAAAATAATTGATCGTGCCTGTAAAAACGGCATGCATTTAATGTAAACTTACCTCTTTATACGAAATATAAATTATTATTATTAATTGCTAGGTTGAGTTCTAGGTTGGAACAGCCTATGCAGAGCCAGCCACACTTTTCGACATCAAATTCGAGTCTCCAAGTGTTACACCATCTATCCATTTTTATCAATCTGTAGCGGTAAATAATTCCCCAAAATTTTTGGCCACAGCATTCATCACTGGACATTGGATGCTGACTCTCACTGTTTAAGTCAACTTGTTTAGCTGAAGGCTCCCGGTCAAGCATCCACACCATTTGGTACTCCGTCGTGCACGTTCTCTAGCCAGTTAAGCAATCACCTCGCACTCCGATTTGGTCCCGAAATATATCTCGTGATTTGGACGATCAATTAATGTGTTTTGCTTTGCCTTTGGTCTACGCGGAACGAATGCTATAGAAGTTGTGTGGTATTAGATCTTGCTTTAGTATACTTCGCACTATCCATGAAAGTCAGTATGCTCGGCCTCTAAAAGTTCGTTTTGTATGGAGTTCACAGTTGTTCCGATATCTGTATTTGTGCATGTGTGGGTCACTTTTAAGTCATCTGCATACAGTATTGGTTTGCCTATGATAAAGCATTCACATATACTTTTTATGTATATAATGAAAAGAATGGGGGCCCAATACACTCCCCTGGATGACAACATTGCTAATTGTTCTAGGCCTAAGCCTGGAGGTCATCGAGCCAGCTTTTGTTATCTGATATCTATCACAGAGAAATGATTTTATCCACTTGTGGAGGGGGTTACATATTCCTAGTGGGCATAACCTGCCGACTAGCAGACTATGTGGGACTCTGTCGAAGGCTTTCCTTATATCGAAATAGAGGATTATTACGAGTTCTCTTCTATCTCTTCTGTAGGTGACTTCGTTGAAAAAGTAAATATGGCAAGAGACGCAAGATCTTTTCTTAAGGAATCCGTGTTGTGACTGGTTGATGAGTTCGTGTTTTAGAAAGTAGTCTGACATTTGGTCTTTGATTACTTTCTCCATGATACTTGATATGGCAGTTACCATATTGATAGGCCTATAATTGCATGCACTTATTTTGGCTACTCCTTTGTGCTTAGGTAATATATACGTGTCTCTCCAAATTTTAGAGTAGTTCCCAGTCACTAGTGAGAGGGTAAATATTATAAGTAATAGTACTGTCATATCCGTACCACCATTTTTGTAAATGACAGATGGTATACCATCTATACTATGTGTATTTTGTATATTAAAGTTGATTTCTCCTAATTTCTAGTTATTTTTGCAGGTTATGTGGAGAATTGGGGAGGGATGCGCTATGGCGTCATTGAAGAACCACTGGCTGAGGAGTTCACTGATAATCTGGGGATCATCATAGATTATGCCTTCATGTTCCTAGTGGCTAACGTTGCCGTCTTTACCCTTTTGCAAGATCTTGCAGAGTTCCCGAGTTTCAGAGGTGTCCCCTAGGACTTTGTTTTGCTCGAGTTGTGAGTTCATCTTATGTCTCTCCACAAGATTTTTAAATGTTTCATGTACCTGGTGTATTCTACTAAATTCGCTATACAAATAACATTTCCTTTTCAGTTTCTTTAGTTTTCATCGCGTTTTGTGGTCTATGAGTAGAGTTGTTGTCTTTATGGCAGATTTTAGGGGTGCGATAGTGTCTAGTCTTGAAATCATTAAAATCGCGAAAAGTGGATTAATGATTTCTAAGTGATGAAAGAAAGAGAGACAGTGTTTAGAGTGTAAGGGTGTTGACGTTCACGGATAGCGCGAAGTATACTAAAGCAAGATCTAATACCACACAACTTCTATAGCATTCGTTCCGCGTAGACCAAAGGCAAAGCAAAACACATTAATTGATCGTCCAAATCACGAGATATATTTCGGGACCAAATCGGAGTGCGAGATGATTGCTTAACTGGCTAGAGAACGTGCACGACGGAGTACCAAATGGTGTGGATGCTTGACCGGGAGCCTTCAGCTAAACAAGTTGACTTAAACAGTGAGAGTCAGCATCCAATGTCCAGTGATGAATGCTGTGGCCAATAATTTTGGGGAGTGAACTGCCGCTACAAGTGTTTACAGCCACTTAAATTGCAGCAATTTGAGAAAAGAGGCGTGGATAGTGGTGAAATTCTTCTTTTCCAATCTGTGAAAATTTAGATTACATAATGTAATCTCATTTTTACCAGTTATATCAGGTGTTACAGGTTCCAAAGCAATGGCTGTGGTTGACTTACATCTCAGGAAGGTTTAGATTTGTTGACTGAATACCGAAAGCACTGATCCATGAGAATTGGCATAAATCGGATCTCAGTTATTTACCTTGTCCACACCGTGGGCAACAATTAACGAATAAACGGCTATTGATGAGGTGGACTAAAAAGCTGATTTAAGACCACCGTCTGAAAAGCGCATGAATTTACAACGCAGTTTTTGTGAACGGTTTTATAATACTGGGGAATTTTCAGGAAGTATCCAGAGGCCTGAATGTCTGTATGTTTAGTACATTTTATCCAAACTGTATCAGGCCTTATTTAGTACATAGAACGCAGAGGGGTTACCTGTTTCATATGACTATAGGGACAAATTTTGAAGAGTTCAGAAAATGTGAAACAAATTAATTAAGAGATTCGCAAATCCCTTATAACAGGAAAGAATTGATCAGTTAGTTCTATTTCCATTGTCATGTTGGCGAATGAGAAACGCTGTCATAAAAGTGTTTTGTGGCTGATTTATTGACCAAGGCCCGAAATAGCCTTGCTTGTTACTACCTTCAAAAGGAGACTACTTGGGAGAAAACCACTCTGAAGTCTGTCTGCTTTATTGAGCTAGTGAAATTGTCAACTAGAGAACACTCTTACATTAATTCCTGATTAGAAAAAGCTTGAAGCCCTATACCCTCAACCGAAATATCTGAAGTCTATCATTTAATTTAGCCAAACGCAAAAGCACTTTTACAAAATGTTGCGCTACGTTTACTCGCATGTAAGTTGCAGATATAACTACACTCATTGGAATAATAAGAGAATCGCTGATACCGAGAAATAAGAAATCTTTTTGGGAGCGTCGATACAAATTACATTAGTTCGACTTTATAATCAGTGTTTTATTCACGGTCATGATATTTGACAGTCAAAGATAATATATTACCGAGCTGAAAAGCTTGATAATTTGTTTGACTTATAATTTTTTCAACGGTATGATAATTGTGTGGAGTGCGCTATGTAGATACGGGAGTATATAGTGTCAGAACACTGCAGTAAGCTGTGATAAGTAGGCTATATCCTATTTAGCTATGTATAGCGAAAATGCTGTTTTACTGAGAAGTAATTTTGTGAGACCACAGTCGTCCTTTTGTGGGGAAAGGATGTAAAGGAATGCGATCGGTTGTCGAGGTGGAAGTGTTACAACACTGAAGCAGTGGAAAGAAATGAACCTTGACTTTTTTCATCATCAGAAATTGCAATTTAGGATTAAAATATTTATTTTTTAGAGTTTTACTTGGTTTTGAAGTACCACCTTACTGTTTATTGGAATTATGGTGGTAGAATCAGTAGTCTATAATATTCCTCCGAATTCATTCAGGTTTTTTAGTGGATTTCAGGGTATTAAAGTAAATCCGAAACTTATATTTGTTTTTAAACCACCAATGACTTTATTTTTGTGGTTTTCATCATAATGTTGCTTTATATGTGATACATTCGCTGTGACTAACAGTCGATTTATACGGCAAGTAGTTCTGTATGATATAGCCAGTAGCCATACTGTTTTATTTATTGATGGCGTTTCGAGCACTATTTATTGATAGTTATATCAAGATACTGACAACTTTTGGGCTTTGTCCGTGCAATTCTGTTATTTTATGCCTCTTTCTTTGTTAGTAACAATATTTTCCATATTTTGGGAATTGGTATTGTATCATTTCCGTTGAGAGTGTTAGGTATGGGTTTGGTCAACAAGGATTCAGTAGTCAATTCCTTCATCCATTTAACTATATTGTCTATATTGCCCTAGCTCTCTCCTGCACTACTGTGTGTTAATGGATAGATACATTGTGATTGCTGAGGTATTCCGTGAGCTGGTCATTGATCGGAAGAAACAGTCATTCTGCACTAGATAAGGAAATATCATCGATGACAATGTTAAAGTGGAGTAATGCAGAGATGTGGCAACCCTGTCTAACCCCTATGTTGGCTGGCGACAGTGGTAATAACGGGTTACATGCCCTCACTCTCACTGACCCGTTTCTGCATAAGGCTTTCAGGATGACGATGATAACAAACTTCACAGGTACACCTCTCTCTAACCGACAATTCCAAAGTGGGAGAGTGAGAGAGATCATTTCTGTTGAGAGAATCGAAGTCAGCCCTAATATCAAGGAACGCAATGATTGTTTACCTGAAGTATGTTTAATGGTCTTTCAACAACTGACGGAGTGTGAACCCGAGCTCAATACATTCTTAATGCCGTAAACTCCTTATTCATGTTATAATCAATAGCTTCATTACTATTTCTTTTCAAGTGATTAAAGATGTCCATTCAAAATTCCAAAAGAGTGATTATTGTACTTGCTACAGGATGGAGTTTCCTGGAGTTCTAGTGAGAAGTCGTGACCAGTGAGTTCCATCCAGTCAAGTGTGTGTCCCACCGATGACATTGGTTGGTGAAAGTCACGCTAAATCACGAATTGGTAGAAGATAGAGTTTATGCGCTGGCCATTGAAGAGTCGGGTCCCAGTGGCTGAATGGTATACGAGCCAGCTAGCTGGCCTTGTAACCGGAAGGTCCTGGGTTCGAACGCCACTGTGGTGGGTGCGTACTGCCGATGATTCCCAAGCACTAGGACGAAACAACTGTCCAGTACTCTCTGGTTGTTTTCAATGGTTCTCTAACTGATATTGATCCGTTATCAACTCGTCAAAAACAGAACTAACCCTTACAAACTAACTATAGAATCATCTGTGCTAAAACCCCAGTAGTTTGTTTGCTTTCATAATTTTAAAAAAATTTTTTGACTGAAATATTCTTGAATTAATGTTTTTTTAATTATAAAAAACCACCCCATTCTCAATGAAGTTTTATGCCTTTTATAAAAATATGTTCATGTATATGCATGGATCTGATGTCAAGGGTTTACGAATACCTATATCATCATTGGTGAAAGTTTCTGCTGCCGCTGCTTCGTCTTCATCGTCATCAGCAACAGCAACCGCGAATCAATCCAGTGATCAAAAAGTTTACAGTTTCACATCCAGATTACAGTCATTAGCAGATAAAAGGTGTGTGTAGTCCATTCCGTGTTGTTCTTATGTTAATTATTATGATTATTATGATTGTAGTAAAAATGATATTTTAATGAATCGTGACCCCTATTGTCCACCGATGGATGTTGAATCACGTATTCAAGCCTTGAGCGAGAAGTTATTTAACCTAAAGTCTTCTACGAATGATAATAATGAGAGTGCCGACCACCATCATCAACATCATCAGTGGAAGGAGTATCGTTTTCAGGATAATGCTGAAAAATACAAAGTATGTTCACGTTTTGGTTATTTTTGGTTTTTTATTTATCACATTCAGTCTATTTAGAATAAATAAATAAATTCATGCCCTTTTTGATTGGACACTAATAACTAGTGCGAGTGCTGACTGGTAAGTGCCAACTTAGCACGAAATCTACCAGGTCCAAGGTGCTTCCTGTGGCCGATTGCCTCCAACTATCCAATATCATCAATTTATTATAAAAGTCGTTTTTTGTATTTTCCAGTGGATGAAAAAACAGAAGGATTATTGTTGTTGTTGCTTTTACGGACGTTTCGCTATTTAATGCTGTTAATGGAACATAGGGGGCTTCAAGCTAGAGTTTTGAAGTTTCGGTAGTAGTGTAACGTCAGAAGACAAGGGTCAGTCAACAGATCGTTTATTCAGAAAATCAACAGATATTTATAGATTTTTATGTACATTATTATTCGTTATTATTAACAGAGAAATGGCGTCTTCTGATTGGTTGTTTTCCTGCTGAAGGTTATTCTGTCATCACTTCGTTGCCATTCCTTAGACAGTCCGGTGATATATCTGCTAATCATATTTGCACACGATAAGTCTGCTGTGATTGGTTGTTGAGTTAGTCTTTGTTCTTGTTTGTTTTTCTCATGACCAAGATATGGGATATGGGACGTTAACATTGACGTAAATTGCTGTCTACCAGTTTTGGATAGCAGACAGCTCTCACCACAGTAGCAGTGTTTATTTTTACGGGATGAAGTTGCTAGCTTCATGGCAGTCCTGCAACCCTGAAGGAACTCATGTCCCATCTGGGATTCGAACCCACATCTAACGTTCTATGTAAGGAAGCTTTTGTATTCTACCTACTACTATCTGTTGCTCCCCTGTAATCTTTCGTGAGCTACTTAAGAAAAACTTTGCCACACTGTGATGAATGGCACATAAAACTGTTAGTAGGACGAGTGAGGTGTTACTAAACCAAATTGTTAATACTGTTGTCGACAGACACTCAAACTCATACGAGGAATTGTCGAATGTCGTCTTGTGGGACTCTAAGCATCCTCACTATACACAACTCTCTCTCCTCTTGCATCTCATCAGGTAGTCGAATTAGAAGCAGCTATAGAAGAAAACTCTATACTCGGATGACTGAATATAAAAACTCTACAAACACCTTATTTAGCAGGCCACGCATTTTATGAGATGAGAAAAGTGTTTAAGGCATAACACTGCTGACTTATTGGGGAACAGTAAATAAACAGCCCTCTTTATTCTTTCTTTCATTGATATGTCGTTGTTGTTGGTAGTATTTCCACTTAAATTCTAATTTTGTGCGTCGGTGGCACAGCGGTTGTGACTCTCACCGACCATGCACGTGGTCCGGGGTTCGATCCACTACCGACGCACACCTGATGTCAATGGTTGGCAGGCAAAATTTGGGCTACCGATAACACATGCTGAAAATTCCATAGTTGTACCAAAAATACGGTGTGGAATCAAGCTGTAATCAAAATTTTAAAATATCTTATTTAACAATGTTATCGATGTAAATATCCTGTCTAATTATTACTCCTACATATATTATGTAATAGGAAAATTAAATGCCATGTAGGCCACGTAAGAAAGATGTAGACTTCCTGACTAGTTGGGGTCCTAGGGACGGTAAACACCAATGAAGGCTGAAGACAATCGGTGATATGGCTCAAAATCGTTCTCAATGGCCGGCGAAGATGCATCCACTCCTTGTGACTTATAATTTCCAATAAAACTATGTTGTTCTCCGTTATTACTATTCCTTTGTCTCACACCTCTGTTTACTGTCTCTATTATGCATTTTACTTTCTTCTCTTGCTTTGTGTGCTACATGAAGTGGAGTGTGGCGACTTGAACTACTGCACATCGGTGCAAAGTTCTATGTTGAAAACAGACAGATAGCCAGACAGATGTAATATCATAGTACATGCTTAAAATTCTATATAGTGTCGAAAGTACTGTTTGAAATGAAGCCATTATTACTAATAATAATAATTTACTATTACTATTATTATTTTCAAAAGAATGGTTACTGAACAAAGAATACTCCTAAATAACTTCATCATCAAGTTCTACAGTTATATATCCATCCATAATAGTGAGTGAATTAATTAGTGTTATCAAAAAAACATTAATGTTGTTTAAATAACATCGAATCAACAATAATATGAATGGATTATAGTTCAATAGCACCAACATAACAATAAACTGAATGTCGGAAAAAACATTAGGAAAGACAATATTACAAATTCATGAATTTATAGTCTCGACTGAAGGTCGGTCAGGGCAGTAGTAGTGGCTGGCTGGACTTGTTTCTTTCGTACACAAAGCACTGGTTGTTTGAAGCGAATTGCAATAGCCTCTGCTGTTTGGAGTTTGCGGTGCTTCGATGCTTTTGGCAATTTGTTAGGCACCCGGTAGATGATGGAGAAGGGTTCTTCAATGCTGGCTGGCTTTGTGGCCGGTTTGAACTAGATTTTTCGTGCTCGAGAAGATTTCTCGTTATGGCTAAGTAAAGGCGTAGTGAAAACCATCAACAGTTCGATATTGGACCATCGGGTGCAAACCGGACACAAAGCCAGCCAGCATTGAAGAATCCTTCTCTCCGTCATCTACCGGGTGCCTAATAAATTCCCAAAAACATAGAAGCAGCGCATGCTCCAAACAGGAAAGGCTATTGCAATTCGAATGAAACAACCAGTTCTTTGTGTGCAGAAGAAGCAATTCCAACCAGCCACTCCTGCTGCCCTGGCCGGCCTTCAGTTGAGACTATAAATTCATGAATTTGTAATATTATCTTTCCTAATGTTTTTTCTGACATTCAGCTTGTTTTTATGTTGATGCTATTGAGCTGTAATCTATTAATATTATTATTGATTCGATGTTATTTAAACAACATTAATGTCGTTCATAACACTAATTCATTCATTCACTATTATGGATGGATATGTAACTGTAGAGCCTGATGAATAGCAGGTTATCAAAAAGAGTATTCTTTGTTCAGTATCCATTCTTTTGAAAACAACTTTAATGAGTATTTTTAATCAATTATTATTATTATTGCTGTTATTATTATTAATTATTATTTAGATGTTTACCGCATGTATCAATGAATTCAAACACAATATCGCTAACAGCTACCTTCATGAAATCAATACAATCGGTGAATTAATTGACTACTTTTCAACAGTAGTCGAAACACCTGATTTCTTATATAAAATAACAAAAGATTCACAAGATGGTAATATTGACTTACCGGCAAACTTGAGCATACAAGTTGAACCTTTACGTTATAATCCAAATGAAGATACATTTTTCAAAGTTAACGCCTATCCTGGTCGTTCAACGATTGTCAGTGATTTAGCTGCCTCGAAGAAACATCCTAGTTATCGTGTTAGTCGGATGAAACGTCTTCGAATTGAATATGAAGATATGTAATGGTGACAACGCCATCCACTCATCCATCCAATATTGTATAGTTAAACTTGTAAATAGAATTTACTTTCACTGAAATACACATATATTCTATTCTTAGTAAAGAATGCTGTCTTTTTCTCCCTCGGTTTCTGATGAATGCATGAGAGAATGAATTCTCAGTGTTAGAACTTTAGATGGACAGCTGTTTCGTCCTAGTTTGCGACTCTTCAGCAGTACGGATCCACCACAGAGGTTTTGAACTAAGGATCTTCGTGTTACAAGGCAAAGCTGGCTTGTAGACCATGCAGCCACTGGGAACTGACTCAATGACCACCAGCTCATGAATTCTAACTTCTATCAGTTCGTGGCTTTAGCGCGTGACCATCAAACACTGTCATCGCTAAGCATTTGTTCCAGTATAGGGACGTACTGTCGATGAGTCCCAAACTGTGACGAAAAAATTATCCAATACTCCGTGGTTGGTTTTCAATGGTTCTCCAACTGATATTAGCCCACGATCAAAATTGGAACGATTTTGAGGCATAGTCCCAATAGTCCCAGATATACAGCAGTCAAAACCTTCATAGATTGATGTCATCTTTTGATTTGATCACCTCTCACACTTTTCCTAAGTAATCTTATGTTTAATTGAATTTTAGATTTTTTCCCGTCGATTGATTGGACCGAAGTGTGCTTGGTCTCAGGTTGACATATTTGTCGGCTTCTTGTGCAGATGCTTCGACGATGTCTGGGCATTTAATTAGTCACCATCCTCAAATTAAAATCCTAGTCTTATGTTGACTAAGATTGCTTAACTGAGAAAGGCAGTTGCATTTGTGTGTGTGTGTGTGTACGTGTCCTAATCGTCTCAGTTGGTGTGTAGCTTCACAACCTCGTCGACTGACTGACTATCCATTGCTGTCTAACACTTCAGACCTAACCTCAACAATTACTCACTGTACTATACCACTTAACACGGAGGATAGAATGTAAACGTATGTAGAGTGGAAGACATACTGCTGCTACTTTCAATGTCCATGTTCTCACTCACAGTCATAAAGGAGGACAGAGTATGTACTGTTGCGCAATACACACAGTAGTATCACCTGGTATCACCTATACATTATTTGTCATGTAAGTCAGTGTAAACGTCAGACAAGTGTTTGGTATTTGTGTTGAGATTCTGTCGGCGATCAGTCAGCACCCTTCTAGGCGAGGACGCTGACAAAATACAGCAGAGTCTTCTGAACACCTTGGGCTGCAATCTACGAAAGTTTGGCGTGCGATTCCCTCCCGCCAAATGTAAGATGATGATACAGCACTGGACTACACTGACTCCTAGTTTAGAAATAGGGAGTGAAGTGGTAGAGCACGTTGACCGCTTCACTTATTTGGGAAGTACCATCGGCCCCAACGGGTTGATCTCTGACGAAATCTCAACACGGATACAGAAGGCTAGTTTCGCATATGCCAGTTCACGCCGTTTCTGGCGTAGACGTGATATCCGGCTGGCTATCGACCGAAGGATGGGTGTACTGCTCATCAGTCCGCTCCGCCCTCCTTTATGAATGGCTGTGAGACCTGGCCATTGAGAGTGGAAGACATGAAAAGCCTGGTCAGCTGTCTTCGATCATAGGTGCCTGCGTTCTATCTCCCGTGTGAAATGGTATAATCAGGTGAGTAATATCGAGTTTAGGCTTTTGTCGAGTGCTAGGTAAGGAGGGGAAATCAATCGACGAGGCTGTGAAATTACATCGACTGAGATGGTTAGGACATGTGTTACGTATGCCTAGTTATCGCCTTCCTCGACGGGCAATGTTGGCTGACATAGGGTCAGGCTGGAAAAGAGCTAGTGGCGGTTAAACGAAAACATAGCACAAGGCAATTAAATCTACAACAGTTAGTTTAAGCCAGCCAGCAACGTAGGAGGGTGTAGACGTCCTGACTGGTTGGGGTCCCCGGGACGGTAAACACCAATGAAGGCTGGAGACAATTGGTGTGTGATATGGCTCAAAATCGTCGTCGATGATGGCGCAGATGCATCCACTCCTTGTGACTTATGATTTTTAATGAAACTATATTGTTCTTCGGTATTACTATTCTTTTTGTCTCATATCTCTGTCAACTGTCTCTATTATGCGTTTGTTCTACTTTCTTCTCTTGCTTTGTGTGCTACAAGGAGTGGAGTGTAGCGACTTGAACTGTCGCATATCGGTGCAAAGTTCTATGTTGAGAACAGACAGGCAGATAGACAGCGATCAGTCCATTAGGCTTGGTACTTTGATATTCTAAGAATATGAGAAAGCATTTGATGAATGCACTGATCGATAGGATAAGGTGAGAGTACTAAAGTGTATCGGTATTGTAAGTTTCAGATTGATTTCAGTACTTCCGAATCAATAAATGACTGGATATCAGTCTGAACTATATTGATTATTACTTATTCTATTCGTTTTGACGCTATAGACAAGTTGGCATTTAAGTAAAATATCAGTAGTATAGTTATGTGGAGGAGATAGGAATCGTGCTTAGAAGAGACCATGGAGAAGGCTAATAGAACTCCATTATAGATAAGATTTTATTTTGATAAATCATACAGTGTTCGTTGTACAGTAATAGTAACTGATGACCACGTTTAGAGCACATTTTATTACTGCTCATAATCATATCAAGTCACTCACTCACACAACTTTCTTGCTTCATTTATATACATGAGTGAAATTGATGATTAGACATTTGAATAAAAATCAATATAGGATAATGTACATTCAGCGACTGCACTGCATGCATGAACACACAATCACACAATGGGGTGGGTGGGACAGAGTCTAAATTCTACAAAGTAATATAGGTAGGTGGAGATAGAGAGAGATTGATTACTGGATCCTGGCTCATTGAGTCTACACCCAACACATTCAACAGGAATGACTCAATGCAAATACCAGAGATATGCATGGAAGATATTATTATCACCAATCAGTCAAATCAGAGGAGGATATTAAATAATCCTAAAATTCTATTTCAATTCATGTACATTGTAACATTCTAACAAGTTACTTATTTATTTTGACTATAAAAACACTCGTCTTATTTCCCATCTGATTGTATTTGATTGATAACACTCATATTATTATTTCTGAATGTACTTTATCTTATATTACTGATTTTATTCAAATATCTAATCATCAATTCCACTCATGTATATAAATGAAGGAAGAAAGTTGTGTGAGTGAGTGACTTGATATGATTATGAGTGGCAATAAATTGTGCTCGAAACGTGTTCATCAGTTAATATTACTGTACTGTATAACACTGTGTGATGTTATCAAAATAAAATTTTATTTATAGTGGAGTTATACTCTACCACCACAGTGCCCAAGTTTTATCCTTATATCAAGGCCAATGGAACTAGAAAAGCTTGAAAAGTCTTCGGCTATAGGTGTGTCTATATGCTTATTGGCTCAGTCCCACCCGACTGACTTCGACAAAATACGTTGAAGTCATTCGACGAATTGTTAAAGCTTATAAGAAACATCTTACAAGCCAGAAGCACTTCACATATAAGAAACATAGAATCTAAAATGTCTGATGATGAATAGGTGTGTTGGGTTAAGGCAGAATTTTCGTCACCATCCAACAATATCCTGTCACGGATGTGCACAGCAGACAGAAATGTGATAAGAACTTTTTATCATTAGGTAAAGGCAGTTTGAGAATCATTGGCAGTACGCACCCACTGCAATTCGAAACCTGGACCTTCCGGTTACAAGGCAAATTCGTATGCCATTCAGCCACTGGGACTTGAATTGCTACAGGACGGAGATTCCTGGAGCTCTGGTGAGAAGTCGTGACCAGTGGGGTCCATTCAGTGAAGTGTGAGGATGGATGTCCCGCCGATGACATTGGTTGGTGCTCGCACTAAATCACGAATTGGTAGAAGTTAGAATTCATACTGAATCGGGTCCCAGTGAGTGGCTGAATGGTATACGAGCCAGCTTGCCTTGTAACCGGAGGGTCCTGGGTTCGAACCATTGTGGTGGGTGTATACTGCCGATGATTCCCAAACTAGTGGGATGAAACAGCTGGCTGTCCAGTACTCCCCCAAGCTGGTTCTCGATGGTTCTCTAACTGATATCAGTCCGTGGTCAAACTTGAGAAAACAAACCTAATCCTTACAAAGCAACTATTGAAAAAGTAGTTTGGTATTTTATATTTACTATACACACACACACATCACCGACTGACCCTATTCAGGCGGCTGACCTCAGGTTCTAATGGGAAGCCGTGACCAGTAGGGCGCAGCAGGTTGAAGGTAAGGCAATAACTCATCAAAGAAGACATTCGGAAGTGGTGGCGCTATATCGTGAATTGGCAGAAGTTCGAATTCATGGGCTGACCATAGGATAGGGTCGCAGTGACTTAATTGTCTACGAGCTAGCTCGCCTTGTAACCAGAAGGTCCTGGGTTTGAATTCCCTGCTGGTGGCCGCGTGCTGTGACGAGTCTCAAACTAGGACGAAACAGATGTCTGACAGTACTCCCAGGTTTTCCAATGGTCCTCTAACTGTTGTCAGCTCATGATGGAATCCTCCAACCAATGAAACAAAATCCCTACAAAATCAATACTTGAAAATAGTTATTATTGTAAATCCACACATAAAAGAAGTTGAGTAAGCGTAATATGGTTACGTAATAGGATGAATCGTTTAATGTGTGAGTTGTGATTAGGATGCACGTAGAAACAAAGGAAAATATGGAATTATGTAGGAGTTCTAAAAATTACAAATGTTACAAGGAGTTAGAAGAAAAACCAAAAAGCACACAAACATAAAGTCAGTAGAAGCCAATACGGTCGTTACCATGATAGCAGTAGAAGTGGTTGTATGATTTTCTTTTGTATACATAACTCCTGGTTTCTCCAACTGAATGGCTAAGGAGACGAAAGCGTATTGCCCCTTTGGCAGGTTACTGTTCTTCCCTTTGTAGATCACTTTGAAGGAGAAGGTGTTTGTTGTGACGGAATGACCCATAGTGTTGACGACATGTTCGATGATCACACTATTCTTTATACAGCCACTACTATTACCTTTTTGTAGACATGAGGTGTAGTGTTCTTGAACCCCTTT